AGGACTGAGACTGGAATGACTAGCATTGGGCTCTGTCCAGGTCTCTGATGTTCTGGATGTTCCCTTCTCCCATCTCTATGCATCATCAGGAGAGGGTTGTGGGATCCTATTGAAGTCTCTTCTCCCAACAGGGTTATCAGTTCTCAGAGCACAACTTCCTCATGGCTGACAAGCACTTCCTCTTGTCCAGCAGGACTTACCCTGATGTGAGACACTTGGCAGCATGTGAGACTTCCTTTCCTGCTGGCCCTTGGCCATTTTTTTGCTTAACATGGAGTCATCCATGTTAGCTGAGCTTCATTTTACCCTCTATGGGTCTTAGGTAAATCTAAACGAATATGGTTTATATTCATGGACCATATCTCCACTTGTGATGATTACAAAATTCTTGCATCAAATAACCCTAATATGTTTGCTTCTGAGTGTGTAACTTCATGGGCTTTTACAGCTACGACATTAAAAAAAAAAAAAAGAATGAACTAACTCCTCCACCCTGACCCAATTGCATGTGCGCTGACATAATCATTGTTCAGGACAAATAACTCAGGGCAAAAAGTACACAGAAAGGGAAAGCTCAGCATGGGGCTGCCAAATTGCAGCTACTTGGAAAAGGACGTCTTCCTTATCAGATGTGAACTCCACATAATAGCAGCAGTCTCTGTGACACTTACTTCTCTGCCTCCCTCCTAATGCCTCACTCGTCACAGTGTGGACTAGCTGTGAAACACCTAGTGCCTGTGTTTTCTTACAGATGCATCCTCAGGCTTCTGGGCTTCCTTGTCTTACTTAGGTAGCCACCACTCTGTGACAGATAGAGACCATCTGGTCACCCCTGACCAAGTCCATTCCTCCCCATGTAGTTTCCTGCTTCCTGGGAGCCCATCTTTTCTCTCCTCCTATCAAATTTTGTGGATTTCAGTGGTGGTTTGAGATCGGGAAAATTTGGACCTGATCTTGCTCTATCTCTCACCAACTATGTGGTTTTGAAAAGTCTAAACCTTGATTTTCCAACCAAATGCAGGCGACAGCATTTTTTAATAGTTGCAAATTGCCCATACCACACCATCTTCTTCAGTGTAGCTTTAAAGCAAGTCAGTGTGGTATTGGCATAAAGTTAAGAAAATAGATCAATGGACCAAATAGAGTTTAGAAATGGATACACACATATATGTTTAACTGATCTTTAATAAAGGTACAAAGGCAATTCAGTGGAGGAAAGGTAGCCTTGTAAATAAATGGTGCTGGAACAATTGGATATCCATATGCAAAATATGAGCATCTATCAGTATCAGACACCATATTCAAATATTAACTCAAAATGAATCACAGACATATAAGGTTATCAAACTTCTTAAAGAAAGTATAGGATAAAATCTTTCAGACCTTGGATTAGATAGTGATTTCTTAGGTATTAAACCAAAAGCACATAAATGAAATTTTTGATTAATTTAATTTCATCAAATTTGCAAACACCTGTTCTTTGACATCTGTTAAGAAAATGGAAAATCACAAGACTGGAAGAAAATACTTTCAAATGATAAGTTAAATCCAGAATATTAAAGAACTCTCAAAATTCAGTAATAACAAATTAATTTTTTTTAATGGACAAAGGATCTTTACAGGTACTTTGTCAAAGAGCACTGTTGTTGTTAGGTGCCATTGAGTCGGTTCCAACTGATAGGGACCCTGTGCAAACCAAATTGAAACTCTGTGCCATCCTCACAGTTGTTGTGTTAGAGCCCATTGTGGCAGCCACCGTGTCCATCCATCTCATTGTGGTCTTCCGCTTTTTTGTTAACTCTCTACTTTGCAAAGCATAGTGTCCTTTTCCAGGCTCTTGTCCCTCCTGATAGTATGTCCAAAGTATATGAGGCAAAGAAGATCTATGATGATAAATGAACATATGAGAATCCATCCACTGTGAGGCCATTAGCTTTACTCTGAAAGACAGGTGCCAACAAGGTGAGAAGGGATTAGATGAGAAGGGGTCAGAGTCTGCTGTAGGTTGAACTAATGAGATTTACTAAGTGGGTTGATATAGGAAGGAGAAGGGACTCCCTGCAGCTCCCAGTTCTGGGCCTGAAACATGTTGGATCTGATGTCTATTAATGTCCATGTGGCTGTGACCACAGGCAGTTGACCCTGGGCATACAGGGGCTCAGGATGCTGCAGACTTGTTCTGAGCTGCTGCAAAGTTGGGGGTGAAGCCAGCATTTGAACCAAGACCAGCTGCCTCGCCACTGTGAGTACAGATAGGCATAAACAGTGAGGCCGGACAGGCTGTAGTCTCTCACAGGGCAGGTGCCCACCAGTCTCTACACCAGTTCTGGGCACTTTCAGTCCCCATGGCAGGTAACTACCTGCTTACGCTCGCTCTCCTGTCCCAGGGCCCCTTCACAATTAGAGTAATTGAATTACAAATAGGTTGAATCCCAGAACCAAAGAGTAGAGGAGGAGGGCTCCCAGCACTAGCAGTTTTACCATTGACTTGCCCCAACACCCTACATCCAGAGGTTTGCATGGTAGGGAAAGGGCCTCTCTAAGGCCCTGGGGTGGACCTGCCTAGTGTTCCTGCCCATTGGAGCAAGGGGGCTTTTCCATCAAGGTCATGAGTCACCAAGACTGCTCCTGAGCTCCCACCAGTACAAAGAAGTTGCCATTAATAGTCCCCTCTGCTATATGCCGAGGAGGCAGCAGTAACCCCTGACTGATGTGATTGATGGTTGCTGACAGTCCTGGGTGCCTGGAGCACTGGCCAGTGCTGACCCACTTCCTCCTCAAAACCAGAGACATTACATAACAGACAGCCACAAGGTCTTGTTGCCCATGACCTGGATGGGGTGTTCTTAATTAAAAAGTAGACATTAAAAAGTGAATCCCAGCTCATATAAATAGGCTTTCAAAAAGGAATTGATTGAGCTCACTGGCTGGTGTCTGTTTGGAAATCAGTGGTATTGACTGACCATCACATTTGAACTGGAGCATTTCCTCTTCTTTCTTTGACCTTGCTTCTTGAGTGCCCTACTTCTCATCAAATGTGTGGAGACAGTGATGTGAGTAGCACTCTCCAGCAGAGCCTCTGTCTGTGCTGTCCAGATGGTAGCCACCAGCACACGAAGTTTATTTAACCACATATGACTGTTGTTGTGAAGTGCCATCAAGTCAATTCCAACTCATAGGGACCCTGGAAAGGGTTTCTGAGGAGCAGCTGGTGGGTTTGAACTGCTTACCTTGTGCTTAGCAGTCCAGTTCTGATCCTATATAGGACTGGTGGTGGTGAGAGGTTACTATATTGGACATTGAAGCATTAATATTGTAAGGACTATTTTCAGAATATTCTATTTGCTATGTATTACATAAGGAGCTTTGGTGGTACTGTGAACTAAGCATTTGGCTGCTAACTGCAAGGTTGACCATTCAAACCCACCAGCTGCTCCACAAGAGAAAGATGAGGCTATCTGCTCCCATAAAAATGTATAGTCAGAAACCGTAAGGAGTAGTTCCTCTCTGTCCTATACCAGGTCACTATGAGTCAGAATCGACTTGATGAGAGTAGGTATGTATTATACCTTCATGTTATTCAAAAAGTATAACTTTATTATGAATAATAATTATAACTAAACATTTGCGTTATTTGTTGACTAAGGTACCTGTAAAACAATTTTTTAAAAAACACTAGTATATGGTCCTGGTGTGGAGCCTAGGATAAGTACTGGACTACTAACTGCAAGGTTGTCAGTTCAAACCCACCAGCCGCTCCTTGGAAACCAGAGTTGCTATGATTTGGAACCAATTCGACAGCACTCAACAACAACAAGAAGTGAATAACAGGTTTCTTTAGAACCCTTGTCAGTGTCTTTTCTAACACAGAAACATGTTGGTAGCTGTTGCTTTTTGCTCACCTGCCCGTCACAGTGGTGTTTCTCTGCAGATTTCTCTTCACAAGCATCAGATAGGTAGCTTATATGTTTCTGTGCTTTGACTTTGTGTTTTCCTTTTAGCATTTTTTTTTTTTTAGCCAAAATATTTTTATTATTGTAAAAGCATCTACCCCAAATTTTCAACAATAATTATCCTTTCTGTGTGTGTCGTAGACCCTATCTTTACAGGTTAGATCAAAGGTGACATATTAGAGGGACGACCTAACCTGAGGATATATGCAGACACTGCCCCAGCTGTCCTCCCCTACTGCTCCACTACTTTTAGCCCCCTGCTTCTACTCTTTCCCTGCTCCTCACCCCTGCCCCAGGCTGTCCTCATGAAGTGGACAGAGCTTCTAGTCCCCTTGTCTCTCTAGCCTGGTTTTGAGTCCCTAGCTCAAACTACATGCGTCACGTATCTTCTTGAGAGTAGAGGAAGCTATAGAATTTCATTCCCTTGGCAACCATCATACTGTTTCTCCCTCAAATGTGTAAGCAACTTCACCTAAATTACGATCTTCAAACCAACAGTGAGTTTGGGCAGCTTGATTCCTGGAAGGCCTTGTCTAGAGTTGGGTTATCTTTTAAGTGAAGAGGGAAACCTTGGAAGGCCTGGGCTGGATCACACACTGGGACTGAAGTTCTAAAAAGACGACTCCGGTCACTGCAAGTTGGGAAGGGATCTGCTCTCTAGGGCAGGCCATGGAACAGGGGCAGGGCACCTTCTAGATCGTATTAGAGCTATGATAGCAGAGTGGGTAGGTAATGAACAGGATCAAGGACAGCCCCCAGATTGTGCGTGAGCAGCTCATGAGCCACTTGCTCAGATAGGGGAAGTGGGATAAGGGACATCAAGTCGGGAGCTAGGTCAAGTCAGGTGACTATGCCCCCACAGCCACTCAAGGTGAGCTGGATAGGCCTTTTATTGCTGGCTCTGTGGTACCTCTCTAGCCCAGGCCTCAATGCAGCTGTCTCAACTCTATCCAGGAACAGGAGTCTTTGCAGGCCAGTATGAGACATGGTAGCTTTGAGATTGTCCTCAGTTCACAGCAGCTGTGCCTTTCTTTCCTAGGTGACACTGTCTGGGCCCCATCCATCCTTCCTCACGACGTCCTCGGCGTCTTGAACCAGTACCCTCAGCAACATTTTGGGAGAATGATGGAGTCCAAAGTCTCAGAAGGTGGCCTGAATGTGACGCTGACAATCCGCCTGCTGATGCATGGAAAGGTACAGATGGAGGGGATAAATGTCAGAGGATGCAGCTCAAGAAGGAAGGGATAGCTGGCTACTCAGCATTTGTTTTCTATCATTAAAAAAACAAATAAATGATCAATCTAATCCTTAAAGAGCAGTTTCAGGTATAGCCCAAATAACATCTGTCCTAATCATGCAAGACACAGATGCCAATTTGTGGTTATTATCAAACACCTGACTGTGTGTCCTCTACATACAAGGGCATCCCCCACAAGTACCCTACATACATCTCAGCCAGGACATAACTCTGGCAGACTCCTGCCAACTGACCCTCAGCCCCACTCCCATTTCCAGTACTGAATTATTTAGTTGTCACCTCCTGTCACCTTCAATCTGAAATCATTTCCTTTGTCTTTCTCTGATTTCTATTTCTGAAAGTGACCATCCATCACTCATAACTGGCATGATTTATCTCAGTACTCAGATTGTCCCTGGCTTAGTCAGTGGGAACTCCTTCACACTGGCCCTGTGTCCCTGCAAGTCTCTATCTTCTCTCAGCATCCCCTCACTCTCGGGCTCACAGCATTGTTCAGCCTTACCTTGGTTGTTTTTTGCCCCAGTCCCGGACTCAGTCACTTCTATAAGGAGCTCTGGTTCCTCATGATGGAGTGGGGTGTTTCCAAAACCAGGGATGAGGCACCAGCCAGCACTTGTTGCTCATGGGGTATTGTGACTCCTAGATAGAACTAGGGAATTTGTGGGGGAATGGGGGACGTGTGCACATGCACAGGCACTTGCATATAAACACATAAACATATGCACACACACATTTACATAATATTTATGTCTATATTCATCTCTGGGTAGTGCAATGTCTCCATCTGATAAGCACTGGACTGCAAACCATGAAGTTTGCAGTTCAAGCCTGCCAGCCACTCCACTGGAGAAAGATGAGGCTTTCTGCTCCAGCAAAGATTTTAAGCTTCAGAAACCCTGTGTTGTTGTTGTCAGGTGCCATTGAGTCGGAACCGACTCAGCGACCCCAGGCACAGCAGAATGAAACAATGTCCGATCCTGGGCCAACCTCACTACCACTGCCACACTTGACGCCATCAATGCTGCCACCTGGCCAATCCATCTCATTGGGGTCTTCCTCTTTTTCTCTGACTCTCCATCTTACTCTCCTGACAACATGTCCAAAGTATGAGAGACGAAGTTTAGCCATCTTGGCCTCCAAGGAGCGCTCTGGCTGCACTTCTTCCAGAACAGATCTATTGGTTCTTTTGGCAGTCCATGGCACTTTTAGTATTCTCTTCCAACACCACAATTCAAAGGCATCAATTCTTTTACGATCTTCCTTATTCATTGTTCAGCTTTCGCATCCATATGAGGTTATTGAAAATACCATGGCTTGGGTCAGGCGCACCTTAATCCTCAAGGTGACATCTTTCCTCTTCAGAAACTCTATACAGGTTCACTATGAGTTGGAACTGACTCAATGGCACTTAACAACAACAACATATTCAACACTAACGAAACCCGTGAGTTCATCACAATAACTCTAGATCTATTCCAGTACTCCAGGGCTCCCTGGATTTTCTCTGTTCTATGTGTGTGGTGAGAAGCCAGATCCCAGTGTCTGTGCCAGGTCTCCTAGGGGAGCTTTCAAGGCTGGAGTTCTGGAGTAGCACTGGTTCATTCTAGACTTCCCATCCCAGGGCAGATGGTCCTCTTATCCAGAAAAGCTGGCTCTGTGATCCAGGGACAAGGACCAGCCTCAACTTTATTCTAGCTATGGTGGCAATTGGTTAGCATTCTTGGTAGTTGGAATGAAACCACACCAGCTCCCTGGGCAGTAAACTAAATCAATGACTCCCATTCCAGAAGTATCAACAAAATCCTGCCCAGCTATACTTTTGGAGAAGGATGGAGTCTACCCTCTTGGCTATAAAATCCTTGCTGCCTTTCCCCCAGCAACCTCAATAGAGGTTGGGCCTCCACCAGGGAAGTTGAATGCCAAAGACTACACTGCACTGAGTGAACAGCTCAGAGTTTGACAGTGCCTCTCTGGGAGCTGAGGAGCCAGCCTGGTCCTGCCTGGCATGAGAGGCATAGGTTTCCTTCATGGGTAACAGTTGGAGCTAGTTTCCACAGGGGACAAGTGTCTGATAGGCACATTCAGGGGCACTAGGCTTTAGGCCTGCAGCCTCTTCTGGATGCTTTTCTGTTAGTATGCTAATCTTGAAAAATACTATAAGTTAGATAGCAAGAGCAGTGCTCAGCCAATGTCAGAGGATTTTATTTTTCATTATCTCATGCAGGAATTCCCTTAGTTTTTGAGTACATAAATACTATATATGTATGTTCTCTGGGTTATTTACCTAGAAAGCAGCCAGGCATCCTAGACCCTGGTAAAATGGTCAACAGACTCAGCCTCCATGAATGAACCCAAACCCAAAAAAAACAAACCTGCCACCATCAAGTCAAGTCAGGAGTTCTGATATGGCGCTGTGGGCTAATACATCAGAGTGCAAAGTCATTTGAACTACAGTGTCGGTGGTTCAAGCTCACCAGTTGCTCCTTGGAAACCCTATACAGGGTTGCTATGGGCCAGGATCAACTTGACGGCACTTCACAACAGCAATAGGATAGAGAAGAACTACCGCATCTTTCTCCCATGGAGCAGCTGGTGGGTGGGTTTGAACAGCTGAGTGCTCAACCACTGTGCCACCAGGATTCTTTCATGAAGGGCCCAGGAAGCAGTATTCAATCAGGAGGAAATCCTCCCCTCCCACTTTCCTCTGGATGGATTACTAATCCCCCCTCCTCATTTTTGTACCAGAGGAAGGTTCTCACAGCCTTTGTTACAGACTTTTTCTTCCTTCTGCATTGTAACATCATTTTTTCTGTGTTTTCCCTACAGGAAGTTGGAAGCATCATTGGGAAGGTAATTATCAGATGAACTGTTAGGACATGGTACTGTGGTGCCTGGTGGGTGCCAGGTTGTTGCACCTTGTTGAGCAGTAAGCATTTCCAGTGGGTTTATGCCTTCTGACCCCTGAAGAGCATCCTCTCCTCATCTTCAAGTTAAACTCTAGAGGACAGCCTACTTGAACTCTGAGAAAGCACTCTCCTGCCCCTCCATCCCCACCCGCCATCTCTTTTCCTGGGTCTCTGTAACTACTTCTGAGGAGATGGCACGCTGCTTCTAGCCCCATGTCCATACTTTACAGCATTCAGGCACCATCTCTGCATACTGCCTGCAGGTTCCAGTGTGCACACACCACTGTCTGCCTTGTGCTCCACACTTCATAATAGCCAGACAGCACTTTCCAGTGTGCAGACACTACCCCTGTGCTGTGCAGGAGGCTGGGTGGTGCCATGGCTCAGCATGGATGCCAAGTTGTTTCACCGAGGTCTGAATCCAGCCCCACTCTGCCAGCTCTGGGCCCTTGGGCAAGTTCCTCAGCTCCCACTTTCCGGTGCCTCAGTTTCCTTTCTTGCCCTGAAAGGCTGTGGGTAGGACTAAATGAGTTGTATCACATGTCAGACTCACAGACAGTGCCTTGTAGGATGGCCCTGGGAAGGCGTTTGCCACTTGTCATCCTGCTCTGTGCCTAGAGGGGTGGGCTTCTGGGTGACAGTGCAGGAGGGAGCATAGCAGGCAGCAAACTCCTGGCACCAAGAAGCCACTACATGCTGTGACACTTGTGTCTGATGTTTCTTTCAGAAGGGAGAGACTGTGAAGAAGATGCGTGAAGAGGTGAGTGTATCTGTTCTCAATGCAGACCTGCCCAAGTCCCACCCTGCTTCCTGGGGATGGGTGGGAGGAATGTAGACAAGAGAAGCAGTAAGCTCAGTGCAGGTGTGACTTTAGGAACAAGGTGCCACTTGTCCTGTGCAGTCCCCGCTTCAGGCTGCATCGAGCATAAGAACCTTGGTGATGCTGGGGTCCTTTTGCTAATGAAAATCAAGGGGGATTGCTGGCAAGGACTTTGCTGCCAGTGCAGGGTTTGCTGGTCGGGCATCTAGCAGTTTTGTTGCTCCAGTTGTTGGGGACTAGCCAGAAAAACCAGGTCATACATGTATTTTTTTATGTGTGAATCTGGTCGTGAGGATCTGCTGGCTCCCTTCTAGAGTGGTGCAAGAATCAACATCTCAGAAGGAAACTGCCCAGAGAGAATCGTGACCATCACTGGCCCAACGGATGCCATCTTCAAGGCTTTTGCCATGATTGCATACAAGTTTGAGGAGGTAAGAAACCCCATTGTGAAGACAGATGTGGAATCTCCTTCTGGGCAGGAGTGGGAGGAGCCAGCCCCCTCTTCCCTGTCTGGACAATGGGAGGTAGGTACAGATGCACTGCAGGTTTTCCCAGAAGCCTGTTCTGTCAGGCTTCTCTCTCTTTCTTATCTTGTTTCACCCCCTTTGTTCACCTAAGGACTCTTCCCTGATATGATCCACCTAATATCAGGTCAGCATTTCTTCCTTCTATTCTTAGAGCCAGACATTTCTGGTATCCATGTTGGGGAAACCCACCTTACTGATGGCTCCTCAAATCTTTCTCCCAGAGCATGGAGCACAGCTTCAGCACACCTCATCCTCCACCCAGAACATGCCACCTCTGCTGACTCTCAGCATTCTCCCATATCCTTGTCACACAGGTGCTACATATAGCTGGCTGGCATGTCCCACATCCCCAGACCGTCTGCTTCTGCTCCTCAGCCACACACCAGCACTGTAGCCAACCCGCCTCTGGGAAAGCTTTGTTTAGCTCCTTTTTGTTGTTGTTGTTGTTGTTAAGTGCCGTCGAGTTGGTTCTGACTCATAGCCAGTTTGTGTAGGGTTTCTGAGGAGTGGCTGGTGAGTTTGAACTGCCTGCCTTGTGGTTCAAACTCACCTCTCAGTCTAGCGCATTATCCTGCAGTGCCACATAGAGAAAAACGTAAATATGTGTGTATATGTGCCACTTTTTAATACTATTATAGGTTAAATATGAATGTTTTTATGTGTCTAATTTTTCTGAAAGTATCAAACATAATTAAGAGATATATTTAACCTTTATTAAAAGAAGGTGATAAAGCTGATGATAATTTTTTCTTCTAAATCTGTCCTATTACTTTTCTTCAAAAGCAAATGGGAAAGATTTTGTAGCATGCCTAAGGATGGCCTCATTGGGAACTTGAATCTGAGCTGGAATTTAAAATCTTGGCTGTCTTTAGAATTAGAGGCTTTGTATACAAATAAGTTTTTGAGTGCTATTTCTAAAGTTCTTAAGGTGTTTGCCTTAGATAAACAGGACCAGGTGTCCTGGTCTCACAGGAAATAGCATCAAGAGGCCCAAGAGATCAAGATAAAAAGCAGTTGTTCAACCAGCTACTCCTTGGAAACCCTGTGCAGGGTCACTATGGCTTGGAATTGACTCAACAGCACTTAACAACAACAACAAATAATGTGGTCTTATTGATTGATTAGGAGATTGCCCAGAGATTTAATCATTGGAGTCTGGTGTTAGAAGGCATATACATGTAGCATTCAGTAAGACTGAGGACAGTGGTTGTTGTTTGGGATAATATAAGAACAGCATTAGAATAAATATAGTCTCACCTAACAATTATCATAAAAAGAAAAAAGAGAAAAAGACCCATTCTGGGCTGAAAACAATCAGGGTTCTAAAGACAATGGGAAGAAGAAAAATTATAAGCCAGCAAATGAAAAATAAAATAAGAATTTAAAAAAGAGCCTTTGTATGACATCTTGGGCAGAAGCTGTCCATTGTTATGAAGGCATTGGTCCAGCTGTCTACTACTTCTGAAGATGGACTCCTATTGAGGGGATCTGTGAGAATCCTCAGTTTTAGTTCTCTTACTGGAGTAACCTTCCAATTGTGTAAAATTGTTCATTTTTCTTTAGTTGTGAAATGTGAACACAAGCATGTACTCCCTAGAGTTTTATTGCTGTGCAAGTAGTTGTTCTGAACAATACTTGATAAGATATTTTCCAAGAAGGTTCTGATATCTCTTCTAATAGATGATTTCTTATGGTTCAAGATCACGAAGAGATTGTTTAGGTAGTTACATGAGAAGACCAGAGAGCACACCCTTTGGGCACAATCTGACATGACAAGTGGCAAGCACCCTCCCAGGACCACTCCTACCAAGCACTGCCTGTGTGTCTCACATAGGCTACAATTCATTCAGTCCTACCCACAGCCATTCAAAGTAGTTTCAGGAGAGGAAACTGAGATTGGATGAGGTACTTGCCCGAGGGCACACAGCAAGCAGAGTAGGGCAGATTCAGATTGAGGTGACCTGACAGCATCCAGGCTGAGCCATGGCACCACCCAGCTTCATGCTGTGGCTCACACACTGAAAAATGCAAGCAGGGGATTGGCAGTACTGTTTGAATATTGTAAACTGTGGTGTGCTCACTGCTAAATACAGTGTACATACTGAAGTGGAGACTCTGTGCATAGATGGTATTTGCTCGCTATAAAATGTGAACATGGGGCCAGCAGCAGTTTGCCCTGCAGCCATCTCCTCTGAAGTAGTGTGAGCTGCCCCAGAAAAGGCCTGAAAAGTGCTTCAAATTATTTTCACTTGCAGTAAGCAAGGTTGTATCATCTTCATACCACAGGTTGTTAATGAGTCCTTCTCCAATCCTGTTGCCTCGTTCTTCTTCCTATGGTCCATTTTCTCAGGTTATTTTCTCAACTTAGAAATGGAATAATACAGTGAAAGGATACAGCCCTGATGCATACATTTACTGATTTTAAAACATGCAGGATTCCTTTTTGATTTCCGTCTCCTGACAGAAATTGTACAGATTCTGTATTATGAGTACAATTATGTGTTCTGGAATTCTCATTATTCTGCAGTGTTATCCATAATTTGTTATAATCCACACAGAAACAATAACTATTGCATAGTCAATAAAGCACAGGTAAACATCTTTCTGATATTGTCTTCTTGAGATATATTTTGAAGCCTTCTTTTCAGCTTTTTCATTTCATCATTTCTTCTGTTCATTCAAATATCTTCTGTGCTCAAATTTCAGAGTCTCTTCTAACATCCATTTTGAGTTTTTCTTTATTTCTTGTCTTTTTAATGATCTTTTGCTTTCTTCATTTATGATGTCCTTGTTATAACCACACAGCTCTTCTGGAATTTGATCATTAGTGTTCAGTGCATCACATCTACTCTTGAGATGGTGTCTAAATTCAGGCAGAACATATGTAAGTCCATCCTTTGGCTCTAATGGACTTGCTTTAATTTATTTCAGCTTCAACTTGAGCTTGCATATGAGCAAATGATGGCCTGTTTCTTGGTTGTCACCTGGTTTTATCCTGATGAATGATAATGACACATCTCTTTCCACAGATATAGTCAATTTGATAACTATGTATTCTATTTGGCAAGATAAACATGTAGAGTTGTCTTTTGTAGTGTTGAAAAAAAGGCATTTGATGCATAAGTTATTGGTCTTGCAGGATTCTGCCAAGGGATCTCCTGCATCATTTCTATCACCAATGTTGCATTTTCCAACTAAGGATCCTCTTCTTTCTTCCCAAATTTCACAATCAAATCACCAATAATTATCAATGCATCTTGACTGTACAGTTGATTAATTTCAGACTACAGCAGTTCACAAAAATCATCAATTTCTTCATAAGCAATCTGTGCGTAAATTTGAATAATAGTCAAAATTGGATGATGTAGGAAGCATCACAAGATAAAAGGAATACAGAAATCACTTTACCAAAAAGGATTGGTTGATATTCAACCATTTCAGGAAGAAGCATATATACTCAAGCACCAATGGAACTGAAAGAAGAAGTCAAGTTATACTGAAAGCATTGATGAAAAACAAGTCTTCAGGAACAGACAGAATGCCAATTGAGATGCTTCAACAAATGAATACAACCCTCAAATGCCATGAAATTAGGAAGACAGCTATCTGGACAACTGACTGGAAGTCATCTACTAGAATGCAGATATTATCAAACAATATCTTTAATATCACATGCAAGCAAAATTCTGTTAAAGATAATTCAAAAATGGCTACATACAAACATCACTAGAGAACAGCTATAAATTCATGCCAGATTTAGAAGAGAACATGAAACAAGAAATGATGCCCTGGGGATCTTGGTTGAAATTAGAGAATATCAGAAATGTGCAGATTTGGAGTCAAAAAAACAAAAGGAAGAAACATATTTGGCATTTTCCCAAGCAAAAAGGAAAATTCCAGCTTGAATTGGAGTTCATAGGTAACCTACAGCAGAGTTTTTCCTAGTGGAAAAATGAGAACCACAAATTCACCATTATGTAAGGATGGCTCTAACAACAGACTTAGAAAGAAGGCTTGAGCCTGAGATTATTCTTATGACAACAACACTTAGCACAACACAAAATGGAAACACATAAGAGAGCCAGAAGAACTAGAAAGGAGTAGTCTGATTCTACCAAAGATGTCAGATAAATGGGAACCAATAACAAATCTGGAGCATCAAACTGAGAACAAACAGCCTACAACTTAACACAAAGAGAACAGAGTTCAGACCCAGTGTTGACTTACTGCATTGAACAGATACAACAAGCTGCAAGCAGCAGACACAAGTGGTTCCTGTGGATACCCTTTCTGGGTGAAGGCAGAGGTCCACAGTGACAGATAGTACAGACTGTGTTTTGGTGGGACTTCCAGGGACATTGGAAATTAACATAAACCAATCAGTGAGAGCAAGGGCACTGTTTATATAGCACTGCTTGGCAAAGTTGGAAGGTGGTGGGAGAACTGGACGGATGAGGGTGTTGGAGTGAGTAGGCTGGAGGCAGAGAACAAAACCCAGCATCTTGTGATTGAGAAGCTTATTTGATTTCTGTGGTTGTCCTGAATTGGAATCAAGAGAGGAGGTAAAAATAGAGGCCGTGTCCTGGCTGGGCAGGTCACTTTGGAGGTTGTAGCTGGTTTCTAGTTGGTTGCTTCCAGGGTCATAGATCAGCATCCTCTTGTCCTGTGGGACCAGGCACATCAGTCTGCATGCTCCCTCTTCACTCTCTCTGAAGGCCCCTCTGAGCATCCTGTGGTCTTTGTATTGAGAATGGGCTCTGCATAACGTGAACTTCTGTCACCATTCTTGGGTGCTTCCTCGTAGTGACATTCCCTAGTGCTGTAAGTAACACAATCCACCCCAGAGTGTTCACCAGGCTCTCATATGGTAAGTGAAGTGAAGCCAACATTCTGGCAGCTTTCTTGTGTGTACCCCTGTTCACAGACGCCCCTCTCTAGGGTTCCCTTCTCTCCCTGGAAATAGTGAATTAAATGGTGTTCTGAGCAATTGTCCCAGGAGCTCATGTTTCTATCCTACATGTGTGCCAAGTGCCTTTTTACATATGTGCACTGCGAGTGTGGTTCTGTACAGGGCACACCAGGCTGATAGTCTCAGGGACACCACACCCATAAGTCCCTACACTCTGTCTGCTGAGTCTGATAGCCAGGATCACATGGCCTCCTGCCCAGTTACTGTGTCTCAGCCCACTATTGTAGGGCCCAGAAACTTCCCTGTTTGGACACTGTTGATCTCTCTCATTTCCTATCTCTCTTCTTCCATGCTGCCCCACAGCCACATTTCTAGGTCAGTGACATTCCCCATATCCTATGCCCTACACAACCCAGAGATGACATGGCCCTATGTGTGGACTGCAGCTTCCTCTTTCCTTAAATCACCCTTCATACTCAAATGTGTTACTCTTCCCTCCAAGGGGCTCACCAGTTTGTAAGCATATGTCAGACCCCAAACCCATCTGAGTCTCCCTCCAGGCCCACCAACCCACTTTGACTCAAGTGCTGGAGAGCCTAGCTCATTGCTCAGGATCCTGGGCAACACCCTTCCCCACCATGCCCATCTAACCTGTTGACCAGCACCTCCTTGTCCCTCTTAAGCCTGACTTTCCCCATACCCTTCTCTGTACATGTTACCTGTCACAGGGAGTTGCCTCTGTCCAAGAACATGGGCGACATTGCACTGTTCCCCACTGACTATATTGTTGTTTTGTGCTGTCAAGTCAGTTCCAACCCATAGTAACCCTGTATAGGGTTTTCAAGGAGTGACTGGTAAGCTTAAACCATCAACCTTGCAGTTCAAACCGTCTTTGCAGTGCAGTGCATTAACCCACAGCGCCACCCCAGGATTCTGTATATGGAAAGCAGGACCCTGTTGGACTCAAAATCAGGTGCTCATTAACAACTGGGCTTTGGGAGGAGCTGCAGGTACTCTGCTGCTTTGAGTACTTACAGTTGAGAGGCACTTGTGGCACAGGAAAGAATGTGTCTTTGTGAACTTGCACCTGCATTTGGTGTTTGCATGAGATCTGACTTGCCTGTATGTATGTGTCTGTCTCCCCAGGACATCATCAACTCCATGAGCAACAGCCCTGCCACCAGCAAGCCCCCAGTAACACTGAGACTGGTGGTCCCTGCCAGCCAGTGCGGCTCTCTCATTGGTAAAGGTGGTTCCAAGATCAAGGAGATCAGAGAGGTAAGGAACCTCATCCTGGTCCTGGAGCACACATTGTCCCTGGGGGACACAGCAGCTTTCATCACAGCATCTCTGTACTATCCTCACACATCAGCACCCGGGCTTTGTTGCAGCTGCTGAAGGGTACAGCATAGGGACAGTCTGAACACAGAGGTTGAAACATGGAGAAACCTGAGAAGTGCATAGACTCCCATGTTAGCAGCAGGCTATAGGCTCAGTGGAAGAAGAGTGTACCTGGGACCTGTGAAAGATGTATCCATTGAGGTAGGGGGCGGGACCTCCCAGGACAGGTATTGTGACAGGGAGCTGGAGGGTTAGGTAGTGCACTCAGAGTCCATAGACCCAGGGTTCATGCTCCCTGCTGCTCTTGGGCTTTGGCGCTCTCTTCTGAGGCTGTCAGGTCTGACTCTTGAGGGAATATTCAGCTGCTCTCCAGGTCCCAGCTGCATGGAGCCCCATCCAGTTTGGATTTTACAGTCACACATCCATGTTATCTCAGGAGAAGTCTTAATTGTTACAGAAGGACTGCAGTTGTCCTGATCTTAGTTCCTTTGGGAAAGACAGCCTAGCATTTTCAGGCAAGAAGAAGGAAGGAGTGTGGTCAGGGAAGGGGCTTAAGTTACCCCACAGCCATGGCCCAGCCTTGTACACACACACACACACACACACACACACACACACACACACACGTTCAAGAAACATCCCTGCTTGAGCACTCTCTGTCTGTCTCTCTCACTTCTTCTGTCTCTCCCCCCATGCCTGCCTTTTTCCAGTCCACAGGTGCTCAGGTGCAGGTTGCGGGGGACATGCTGCCCAACTCCACCGAGAGGGCAGTGACTATCTCAGGGACGCCCGATGCCATCATCCAGTGCGTCAAGCAGATCTGTGTGGTGATGCTGGAGGTACACTGTCACTGCAGGGTGCAACCCACCCAGGGTGGCCTCCCTTGTTCTCTGCAGAGGCCCACCCATTATCCCTAGAGTCTATGGCTTCACCTTGTGGTGACTGGCCCCACAGGTTTTGGACTTCCAGTGCACCCCTCTGGGAGCTGTTCTGAGCACAGGTGCCTGAATAGTCATGTGTGGGTAGCTAGGGTCACCCATGGGGCATCTGAGGGAATGTGTAGGAAAGAGTAAGCCTTTTCCTCGCTCTTGAAACAGAAGAAAAAGCTGTTTTGCCCTCCTTGAGGGACTTCAGGAAAGGGTCAGTAACCATCACCCTGGGAGAAATTGGTAGGGGAAGCAGTCCTGTGCGGAGGTCATAGGAATAGGAATTAGATGGGGATCAGGAATAGGGATTGCCTGCAGGGTAGGAGAGCTTTGACTTGCATTCTGAGTGGCTAGGAAGTTGCTTTTTGGATGAGGAATGCAAAGGCTAGAAGCTTTTTCTAGTCACAGGAGTCTGCAGACGGTGAAGTCAAAACAGTTATGAGGCACTAAGGGCAAAATTAGGAAAAGCATATGAAATGCCCAAATTAGAGGTAAAGGGGCATAAATAAAGGAATTAAAACAAAGAGACAAGTAGAAAAATACAATGGCTGAAAATGAAAAAAGCTTTTCTTGAAATACTGGGGGTGAAAACCCTGGAATTTAAATTTCACAGGTATTAATGGAGTTTCTGGTCTTTTCTTAAGTTAAAACCGAACAAACCTGCCTCAGACTAAAGGCCCCAACAGCTTAGCTGGAGGCTCCCACATTCCTCCCTGTGCCTTCCTGCCCACTCAGGAAGGACAATCCAACTTTTCTAGAACAACAGTCCTAATGCTTCCTTTGCTTAAAGGGTGGTCTCATGCTAGAGAGTGCTCATCCTGGTACTAGGAGGTCTAACCTCACTGCCTACAATGACCAGGGGGGTCAACTTGGCTTCCAAGGTGGAAAGAATTGCAGACAGCACTTCTGTTTCCATGTGAATTGGAGCCTCATCAAGGAGAGTTAGGGATTCTTGGCTTAGTGCCAAAGTCTCATATTTAACTTTAAAAAATCTGACATTTTTGTTTTCCTAAAACATTAAAAAAAAACAAAAAAAGGGGGGGGGTTTGGGTTTTTTTTATATATTCTTGTTTGAAATTTTCCAACAAACTGCTTATGGGTGACAAAAGGACCAGCTGTGTTGCACTTCTCATGACTCTGTGCAGCCTCCCACACTCACTGGGCCTGGAGGACTGTCTCAGGGCATGGTTTCCTGAGACTGTGACCAAGGCCCCTGGGTAGGACATATGCACAGTTATTACATGGAGAAGATACATGGGAATGGCAATTAATCTCTTGCTGGCATTGCACAGATAGACCGCATCTCCTATTTCTCTATTCAGAGGAAGTCCCCACTCCTCAAAACAAGGTACAGTGTTTTGTCAGGGGCCCCCATGCAATGCTGTGGCCCAACTCAGCACCACATAAGTACTTCTGACTTCTGCAGTGGTGGGAGGCTGCCAGAGTGTCCACAGGCCATGGGTGGAACAGCTGTGTTCTGATCACCATGGGGTTTAAGTAAGATGAGGAACATAAAAACGTTATGTGGACTCAAATGCCAGCACATAGTCCAGTATAAAGAATAATTACCAGAGCTGAGACTAGGGTCTTCTTGCCTGTGTCTAAAAGGGTGCACTTAATCTGACCATGGAAGATGACTCCACCTAGAAATAATAGGCCTATTTTAAATAGAGAGTGACTGGGGATTAAAATAAGAGATGCTGTTAAGACTTTCTTTTTGATCAAAGGATTTAGGGCTTGGTCATGGGGTGTGCTTCAGATACCCTTGAACTTATAAAAAGTTTGTTCCCAGTAAGAGACCAGGGCAAGAACCTTGAGAAAACTTCTAAAAAAAAGTCTAGGGTCCAGTCTATGAAATAATAATATGCCTCAGTTTGTACATACCTTTTTGAAGGTATGGGTCATAATCCTACAAATGCCATGGCATCCTCCCAGCAACCTTTCCCCATTTTACAGCAAGGTCATCCAGCATAGCCAAGATAAGCCAGCCTGCCCAAGATTGCCTGACATGCCCAAGTTCAAGCAGTTGCTCTCAGTGTTGGTGGCATCCAGAACTCCCGCAGGAACAGGCTTCCTGTAGCTGACACCCGTGGCTGTACTGTTTCTGCCATTCTGCCTGTCTCTGCCAACAGTTTCCACATAAAAGGCTCTAATTGTTGCTAGGGTGCCACCAGACTCAGGGCTCTCTGCTTCGCTCTTCCAGAACCAAGACATGGCCTTTGTACCCATAGAAGAAGGTCAGCTGGGACAATGAAGGCATTTACTGCTGACCCAGAAGAACGACTACTACCTATTTGTCCATTTGACATACTCTGTGCTTTCATGATGCTGTCATGCTGTCAGCTCTTTTATATAGTATGGTCATCCATGCTGGACAGGCTTCAGCAGAGCTTCCAGGCAAAGACAGACTAGGGAGAGAGACCTAGTGGTGTACTTCTGAAAATTAGCCATGAAAACTCTGTGGATCACAGCAGAGCATTGTTTAATACAGTGCTGGACAATGAACCCCTAGATTGGAAGGCATTCACAATACCTAGTGGCCACAACAACGGACTCAAGCAGACCAATGATCCTGGTGAGGATGCTGCAAAAGATGATGCAGGACTAGGTAGCGTTTTGTTCTGTTGTACATTGTGTTGCCCTGAGTCAGAGCCAACAAGGAGAAGGCAGTGTCATGATGAGTTATCTGAATCAGATTTTCTAGAATTTTAGCACTTTAGACTATTACTCATCCAAAGATAAGAACCCTATACTTTTGGCTACAGAATAATTATACCTCATCATGGCTGTAGAATACTTCAGTTGGAATCTAGATACTGCTAAAAATTGACTCCTTTTTGTTCCACCATGAAATTCAACATTGCTGAGCCACCTCCCTAGATCATTCCAAGTCCTTTAGGACGTTGGCATAAAGTGCCCATGGTAGGTTGTACACAGAGTTCAGCTTTATACAGAGGCTTAGAGAGAGAATTTTACCATTCCTGGGTATCTACAGTGGCGAGCAAGCACCACAGACCCAGTCTATGACAGAAAGTGACGCTTTCTGATAGATTTCAGATTCTGCCCAGGAGGAAGGTACCCTCACCCAGCAGTGCAGATAGGGAAGACCCTCCTTTTCTCACCATGGTGGGGACTAGCACACGGCATCACTCTGCAGGCATAAGCCCTTAGGAACCCACAAGGCGCTAGGCAGATGGTCATGTGAGCAGGAGGTCTGGTGGTGAGGAACCTGATGCTCAGACAGGTGACCCTCCTGCATTACACCAACTAGGGCCGTGTCCTCCTCGGAGCACCACCCCAGGACTGTTTCCCGTCCAGCACATCTATGGCACAGCAGTGCCCTCTCAGGATCTAAGGATATGAGGGATGGGTGGGTAGGAGGTGAAACCCAGGCATAGCTTGGGTGGGCATGGGAAGGGGCCTCCATACTGTGTTGCCAAGTGGCTCTAATGCTCTCTCTCCCTCTCCTGTCCCTTCTCCTAGTCCCCACCGAAAGGTGCCACCATCCCCTACCGCCCAAAGCCCGCCTCCACCCCTGTCATTTTTGCAGGTGGTCAGGTAAGAGCCGACCCGCTCGCGGCCTCCACGGCCAACCTCAGCCTTTTACTGCAGCACCAGCCGCTGCCCGTTAGTGCACTCAGGTTTTCTTGCCTTCGCACGTGCATGTCTCGTCATGGTGGGGCACAGAGCTCTTCACAGGTTGGGTGGAGACCAGAAGTCAGATGTGGACTGGAAAGGCCAGGAACGACAAACATTTTATATGTGTGGCCACAGGAGGAAATTAGAATGTCTATGAAGTGAGCCAGCACAGGAAGCTGGGTCCTCTTTTCCCAGCATTAAGCTCCTATCTTGGGCTCTTTTGCAAAGTGAACTACAGCCAGCCCCAGACAATGCTGGTGGTGGGCAGTGTCAAGTAGGTCTTGTGGCTTTACCACAGGCTCTGGACACATCAGAGGGACTTTGAAAACATCTGCTCATGCAATTACCATCGAAGAGCTCTGCGTCTACCTCAGTGACCGAGTCTTTATTCAAGGGAGAGTTAGGACAGAGATGTACCCAGAGTGACCCAGGGAAGCGGAGAGAATAGGGTGTCATTTTATAACTTTAAAAGACAGAAGTAACTGAATTCAGTGTCTTCCACATTTTCCTATGCCATGTAAAGGAATCTTATCAGATGTATTATTTACACATTGTATGAAAGGACAGGAATACTGTAATTATCAACTTCATTCACCACATGTAAGGCAAGGCACAGACCCCCACAGCACATGTGTCTTCTGGACCCATCTGCTGCCTTCCCTGCCCTAGCACCATGTGACCTTCTCATGGGCACAGCATATCTCACAACCCTAGTTCCTCATGATCTGAGTCTCAGAACTGCTATACCACTTACTGTAAAGAGCCATCATAAACCATGTTACTCTCACATTACCCTTAAGACTGTCCCTGTTTTACAGGGGAGGAGTGAGGCCCAGTGAGGAAGGAGTCACCCAGACACCCACAACCAACGGCCCATGGGGCTGTACCTCCTCCACCTTAGCCAGTTGACAAAGGGGCACTGGACATGTCCCCAACTCAGAGCCATAGTGGAACCACTGGCCCTGGATTATGAGAAGTCCCTTTCCAAACTCCCTCTCTGGGGCTTTCCCTAAATCCCTACTTAGATACCTGTGTGGATTCAACCTTAGTATCTAGGCAGATCCATGAAGATATCACATTGTGGAACTTCGGATTTTGTTGAAAGAAAAGATGCATTTATACAGACACAATGTAGACAGTCTGTGAAGCCATACACTGCGGAGTGCCACAGCTTCACATGCAAGGATGGGGTCACAGTAGGTGTCCCACTCCCAGCTTCCTTCCTTCAGTTGTGAAACAGATGCCAACTTCTGCAAGTAAAGGGGGCTGAGGTCACCAGTAGACATCTGGGCACCATCATGATGGGGCTTTTGTTCCACAAGTTTGCCCCTAAAATGTGAGGCATCTTGAAGTCATGCATGCTGCACCTGTACAATGTCTCATTGAAACCAGCATGTGTACAGAGGAGTACATGCAGGAGGGAGAGCCAAGTGCCCAGGAGCACCTCTGCACAGGGAATAACTGGACAGTAAATGATACAGGACTAGAACCCAGCACAGAGAGGCAGCTTGAAGGCCATTCTAAAGAACTGGCCCCAAACTCAATGCAGTATTCATGGCAATCTAAAACTTGCAGAGGTGCAAAATGAGAGCATTTCTGTGAATTATATGTGTTAAGGAATCAGATATGTCCCCAACTCAAGAATCCACATCACTGTCCCTGGAAAGAAGGGCGCTACAGGACTGGGGCTCCTTGAGTCTTTTAGCTGAGAGGTGGAGTATCCCAGACATCTCCCTGCTCAAGGTATAAATCATGAGAGGCAGTTTAAAGCAGATCCTATCCCAGCACCCCACACAGATATCAGAGGGATTGTTTAGACAGCATCTGCCAAGGGGCACAGCAGTGTTAGACTAAAATAAAATGAAAAGACAGTAAGTCAAGGACATTAAAATGGGTCAGAATGGAGAGTAAGCCTGTCATAAATGAGCACCTCAGACACTCAGGCTGAGCCTCCTGGGGACAAGGCAGGTCAAGCATTACTTGGCTCTGAGGGGAAAGGATGGGTCCCAGGCTGACTATATGCTCACTGGAGCAGTTTCCCAAGTGCAACAGCACAAACCCTGCCAACAGCGTCAAAAGAAAGAGTGCAAACAGTGAGGTTACATTGTTAATCACTAGGACACCTTCAGCATCTGATAAGATTTTTTTACTCCCTGCACCACCCCCACCAGGTGTTTGATTGGCCTTAACCCCCAGGAAAATGCTTAGCATATTCAGAACCTGGGATCTGGCAGGACCTTGGAGAACCACCCTTCTTTTTAGAAGGAGTTTCCACCATAGGTGCACAGTGCTGCCCACATTTGGACACAGGTGTAGGGCATACCATCATGTCCGTAGGAGAATGGCAGGGGCCCACCCTGCAAGCCCTTGTGGGCCCTGGTCCCCAGCCTGCCACGCAGTGTCTCAGAATCCCCCAAGATTCTGGCAGTGTGTCTTTGGTCTGCACTCTCCCTTCACTTCATGTGGTCTTGTTCTGTTTGTTGTTTTATTTACCTTCTAAATCTCCTGACCTATAACCAGGGGAATGGCTGGAATAGGTCCTGACTAGACAGTACCTCTCTCAGTCATGTTGGTCTTCAGAGCAAGTAGGGGCAGAGGAGACTGCAGGGGTGGCCGAGTGTGGATTGTCCCAGTCACTGTTCTTGAAGGTGAGGGAAATGGAAAGCAGAACCTGGCTTCCAGTGCCTGTTAGGACCCTCCCTGTGTCTGTCAGGGCAAAGTGTGCAAGTCTAAAGGGCCCCAGCTGAGACTTGGTATCAAAGATGAACTGATCATCATGAGACTGGTTTGGAACCTTTTGCAAAATTTTTGGTCACCACTTTAAGCTTTATCGTCTTATTTAGCTTTCATTCAGAAACGTTTCCTATATTTACTCTGGTCCTTGGTTAAATTTTCGCAGGGTTAATAATTAGTAAACACCTTAACTGGAGGGTCAAACTCATTGTTCTAATATACATTTTTTTTCTTTTAGGAAAAGTAGGGAGAATTGGAGAAATATTCAAGGGCAATTATTTACCTCCCACCCAAATGATTCAGCCAGCCTCAGTTTCCCACCATGCTAAGAACTAGGGTGTGGTCTCTAGGGGCCTGCCTGCCTGACTGTGACTGCAAGTCACTAAGGTTCTTGACTCAAAACACTTATTTCCTCCCCCTGAAATTCCTGCCCCTCCAGTACTAGGAGGGTCTGCATCTGTCCTATAAATTGGGGACATATGACAGAAATGTACATCAGGAAAGAAAGCTCCAACCTGGAGGCCCTGTGTGGAAAGGTTGTTGTAGGAGCACCGTCGGGGATTCTTGATCCAACTTGACAAGCTAACAGTGTCTCTCTTTTCCAGGCCTACACCATCCAGGGACAGTATGCCATCCCACATCCAGATGTGAGTGTTCCCTCTGCCTCCCTCACACCTTTTCTTTCTTGTTTTCATTTACCCCTGCATGCTGCTGTTAGTAACTACTGATATTAATATTACACAATGATATTAATACATTTCTAAATGTTCCTGACTATGTTGTCTCCAATTGACCTCAAATAACCTTTTAACCTCTTAACACTAACTGTACTCATGGTGAGGACTTGGCCTGATGTAAATTGTCTGTTGTCTGCTCAGTCCAGGGTTTCCTGCACGCACCTGTTGCTAATGCTCAGACAGTGTCCATACATCTCCCCGCACCCCATCCATCCGGCTGCACACCAGAGCCATGGCTGGAGTGGCTTAATCCAGTTTTCTTGGTGGGCTGGCCTCTAGTGGTTCTTTAAGCAGACCCAACAAGTGAAGTCTGTTGTCAAACAAGCCCCTAAAGTATGTTGGAAAGGGAATTTGAATCCTGGCATTGCCAGACTTCTCCCCCTTTCAGAGCCTAAGTTGAAAGTCAAGACCCATGCTGGTGTGGAGACCCAGTTGGTGAAGTCCAGGGAGCTGGCTTTCTCTTTCACTTCAGAGTCACTAAATGCTCCATGGACATGTAGGCCCATGCGTTGCTGCTGAAGGGCTACCTAGGCTGGGTTGTCATGTTGAATGACAATCCAAATATAATATTAGTGCTGAACAGTGGAATGTCCTAAAATAAACGTTATGGAGAGAAATCCCAGTATACCTCTGCCCACCCTCAGCAGGGACAGAAACATGCACCTTGGTGTTGTGCCTCAAGGTTAAATGGTTAGCCTGAGGTCAAGGGGACAGAACAGGATCAAAGAGGCAGCCTGGGGTCAAGCAGATGGGCAGGATGAGGTCAAGAGGGTAGCCCAGGGTGATGGAGAGATCCCAGGGTCAAGGAGACAGGCTGGGGACAAGGTAACAGTGCACCATAGCAGTGGGGGCTCGGATCCTTCCAGAGCCAAGAGATAAGGGCAGCAACCAGCGAACAGAGGGACTTTCCTTGAAAAAATATTAAATATATTAATTAATGGGGTCTATATAATTGGTGCTAGAAAAAAAGGGAGGGAGCTAAAGAGAAGAGAGGAAACAAGGAAAAGAAGAGAGAAAAAAGGCCCTGTTGCTTCTACCAGAGGAAGAGAGGTGACAGTGGGTATCTGTTTCTATGCAGCTTTCAGCAGGCAGAGGGAGCAAACCTGAAATGAATTTTGGAAGCCTTTTCTTCACTAAGCCATTTTGAGTATTTGCCCAGCTTAGCAGCTACTCCTCATAAAACAATGTATGTGTTCATGTAAGTGCCCAGGGTCAGGTTAGGAGACAGTCATCTGATTAAGAGATCAGGAGAGGTATTTTTAAGAAATTAACACTAAACACATATTTGAAATATGTAGATTCAATTCAGTATTATTGCAGGAAAGCTTTTGTTGAGTAGAAAATAAGTACTAATGGTTTTCCCTTTTTGAAAATGATCACAAACAGCACATATACAAATCAAATCATAGAGAATAAATGGATGTGAGTTCCCTTCTTCCCTACCCTAGAAGGCTTTCCCCAAGATTGTCTATAATGGCTCCTGTGCTTCCACTGTGAATGATTCCTGCCATACTCTAACTCAGGATCTCTCATTCTTTAGGCCCTTCACATAGACTGTCTACCAGGCCTTACTCGGAGGACATAGCTCACTTCATACCTGCTATCTTCCTCCTGAAGGAAATCTGTTATTAAGACTTTAATGGGCCTAATGTCATTGACAGTGCTAGATAGACACAACCACTGTGGCCAGGGAGGAGAGGACACACCTGGTCACATTCAGGAGGCTAGTTGGTTATGGTCCAGTTTTGTCCATGGTTCACTCCAGTCACTTTTCTGCCAATCTAAGCCTTGAGAGTATCCTTAGAACCCACAAGCTCCCTAGCTTTCACTGCTGTCTTGGTACCACAACCTCCCTCTGTCCCTTCCTCAAGTCCCCTCTACTTTCCCTTCTCAAGTCATGTGTGGAAATATGGCTCAATTATTGACACCTTTCCCCACAACCTGTTCTCGGGGAGGGTTTGGAAAGGGTTAGCTGTGAACCCATCTGGGTCCAGCATTACCCTTGGAAATAAGAGTTGTGGAAATCTGTAAGACTGCTATAACAGGAGTCAAGGACCAAGCCCCATAATTCAGGGTAACAGAGGAAACATATTGGAAACCTTTTGATTCCCGAAAGGTTATGTGCCTGCACTAGTGCCCTTTCCCCCTTTGTTCCACCTGACAGTCCAATTGTAACAGACTCAAGAGAGAAGCATCAACAGAAATACCTGTGCAGAACACATGTGCATGTGTTTGTGTGTGTGCACATGTGTGCTTGTGTGGATGTGTGTATGCTTGGGTGTGAGCAAGTGTGCGTGTCTGTATTTGAGTGGGTGCACAACATATATGAGTGTGTGTGTGTGTGTGTTGCATGTATGCACACATATGAATATGTGGTTTATGTGATCATGTGTATGTGTATACGTGTATACAGATGTGTGCATAGGAGTATAAGGGAAGTACTGTGCATGGGTAGGTTTGCTGGCTCAAACAGAAGGTTCTGAGTAATGATAATCAAGTTGAGAGAAGAGCACAATCAAAATTTAGTGCTGCATGCAAGGGTATTAGACATTTTAAAAAGTGGATACGTGTGTCCAAAGGTAGATATGAAGGCCTGGTTATTTGGATTTTTAAAACTCTAGAGAACTCCAAGAAAATGCAGTAAGTAGTTCTGGTGCCTCTAGTGAAGGACATTTTGTCAGGCTGGATTAAAGTGCATGTTCCTGTTCCACAGAGAATAGTTTTAAGGTCACATTCTAAGACCTGCTGTGACCTGTGACCATCTGATAAATAATTGTTCCACAAGTTTTCTATGCCAGAGTATAGAGTTCTCATTAACACTTCTTAAGGTTGGAGACATTTGAATTGTAAATGTATCTTGTTTGACATTTCCAAAGGTGCAGGTATGTGTGTATCAATCAGAGTGAAACTTCTGATTGAGACATTTTAATTGATATAATTGATTAACTTTTTGTCAGTTATTTGGCTCTTTCCCATTATGTCTTACATAAATGGGTAGTTTCACAGATGCTTGTTTCAAATTAGTTTAAGCACATTTTACAATTGGCTTTTCTGATTGCTTCATTGCCTATGGTAAGGGATTTGAAAAATTTGGTAATTGATTATACAGAGAATGACTTACTGTGCATGGAATTCTATTTTCTATATCAATATCATGGATTGAGTGAATAGTGGAAATTTCAAAGATGCTTTTTTTTGCAGGCATATGAAATTGAAGACTTGGATAACCACTGAGATAATTACTGTTCCATTTTAAAGAACAGTAAATGTTTGCTTAGTGACATAGGTGGTAATGGCTGTGTAGACAATTTTTATCCAAGTTTAGTATTTAACAGGACTCATAAACATTTTAGATTTTTCAAACACAAATATGATATTTACAGGAAATTTTGGATAACATGAATTTATTATATAATTGAGCATCCAATTTAAATATCTCAACTGAAAAGGCTGGCACATATATACTATCATCTTCTTTTAACAGCTTCATCTTTTACCAGGTTGCGTGACACATAAATTAGACACAAGGACTAAAATAAAACATACTCTCTAAATTATTTCTTTATCTAGAACTAAAAAAAAAAAAAAAAATTTCTGTGTCCTGTTTTAAGGAGCACTTTCTCATTTGCAATGATTTCGGAATTATCAGTGACATACCTCCCTTTGCCCAGGCCCTCCACGCTCTCAGCATGCCGTTGGCATTGTCTCACCTAACACCCATAGAATTTTACAGTCCTTTTAAGATGCAGACCTGCTGAAGAGGCACATGCATTGCTGGGTGGTGGAGAGAACTTTTGGTGCTAAAATTGGTATTGCTGGGTCACCAGTTTGTCACTGATCTGACCAGCCCAGTGCTCAAGGATAGCTCCATTCTGTCCCCAGTCTCACTGACTCAGTGCTGCTCTTCTTCAGTCTTGAAAATGATCTCCATGTCCTTGGCATGTCCTGCCAGATACCAGGGTAAGCACAGTTTCAAAGAAAAGAAGAAACGACACAGAACACACTGGACTCAAGAGCAGGCACAGAAAGCTATAATAGCCTAGATGGACACATCATGAGGCCACTTGACCTCTCACCCAAGGATTCTGTCACTGTGACGACAGCATGCACACACACTGTGATGGAATTGTGTTCTTCTGGAAGAAATTGATGAGCTTCAAAGTATCGTGATATGTGTGAATCTTTATTTCTAGCTTCACTATTTTCAAATCACTGCCTTATTTAGCATCCCATCATTTAAAGAGTATGCTAAAAACAAATAGAAATATAAAGACAACAACATGCTACAGTTGACAAAGAGCTTGTCATCCATCCTACCTTACCTGAACCCTACACTGAGCCTTAGAAGTAGATATCTGAGCCATCATTCCAATTCTGCTCATGAAGCAATGGGAGCCTGAAGGTTAGCCTGCCCAGTCAGTGAATGGTTAAACTGGCATGCATACCCAGGTCCTTGGGTTGCAGCAGAGAAATTTAACACTGGAAGACAGACTGCTATGAAGTTTGTTCTTTAGCGAATAGGTGGTAGTGAGAAACTGTGGGCACATGTTTCCCAGAGTAAAAGTAAAAGAAGTCAGGGGGAGGATAAGTTGATGAAGATCTGCACTGAGTGACCCTCCAATGACTTGTTTGTTCGTTAATGTCTCAGAAACATAGAACACTGTTAAAGTTTGAGAAAGGAGGATTGAGTAAGGAGGAAGAACATATATCCAACTGGAATCTAAAGAGTACTTAATAGAATGGGGCAAGGGAAAATTCTTAGAAGTAAGTACTAAGAATTATTTTTTAATTAATAAGAGAATCCAATGCTCACATTCAGGAATCACAACCAATATTAAGTGGAATAAATCCAAAGAAATCCATCTTACTCATATCCAAGTAAAACTACATAACACCTATGTAAAAAGCAG